CATAAAACAATGACATGTGTTTAACCTGAAATTAAAAACAATGCATAGCATAAAGCTATTTTAAATATAAAAAGTGGTGGTAATAGATATTAATCAGTTTATTAGCAGTCTAGTAAGAATAACCATTAAAGAATCAACCATAACTCAGAAGAGCATTTACAACACAACCTCAAAGGTCTATTTCTGTTTGCTGGCACAAAATAACATTAAGGAGAATAAATCTTATTTCACTTTTAGTGCATGCTGGCCACACAGAAGTGATCAATGAGTGTCTGTCATCATTTCATTGGGGAAAGATAGGAATTCAAGAAGCAACAGTGAAAAGATAATGGAATGCTGTTTTAAAGGTTTCCTGTATTTTAAGTAACAAAGCTGTACTTGAACTAATTTAACATTCTAAAAATGTAGAGTATACAAAATCCCAATAAATTAATCCAGATATTAATACAGAAGATCAAAATGAGAAGAACTACACTGTATGTTCTATGTAATACCTGCTTACTTCTGAACATATCACTGTATTTTCTAAACATATGCGATTTCTGAACACATCACCAAAAGGTCAAAACTATTATAATTTGTCTTTTAGGAAAACTATAGGCATTAGCACCCATAATGTTCTTAAGAGATCCTCACAGATTAAATATGAGAGCATGATGAAAATCTTTAACAGAATGAAAAAAGAATGAAAAAAATGGAAAGCAAATGAAAAATGCTATATAGTAACTAAAAGATGTGTATGCTCACAAAGCTTTACTACAAAAAGAAATAGAATTTTTATATACCGTATTTACTAATTTCTCTTTCAATCAGGAAAACTAGGAATCTCTATTCAATCTCTCTAATCCCCCAAAGCCTCTTCTTTATTTATATCTTGTCTTCATAATATATTCATTCATATACTTGTGTAAATGTGTATGTATATATGTGTATTTCAAATAACAGGAAAAAGTAAAATAAAAACATTATTTGCCATTTAAAATCTTAAAACTTTCTAATACAAGATTTGTGTGTGTGTGTGTGTGTGTGTGTGTGTGTGTGGAGGAGGGTGCTCAAGGCTTACTCCTGGCTGTGTGCTCAGGGATCACACTGAAAACCAGTAAGAGATGCTGTTAATTAATCCCAAGTAGGCCACCGAGCAAGGTAAGTGCCTCATACACTGGACTATTACTTTGACCCCTCTAATACAAGATTTCTTGGTGAAGTAAAATATGTGCCTCCTTATGACAAAAAGATTTTAAATAAAAATTATCTGAAAATAAAGGCAAGGTTCTTAGTATTTACTTACGTTTTCAAAATAGAGAATAGATATAAGGATTGTTAGAAGTGAGGCGGTAACGTACAAACATCTTACTGAGATAAACCTGCACAAAATGTGCTTCAATAGCGGTAATAGTTGTATGCTATTTTTATAACTTTGTTCAGGGTGATTGCTTTTTATTCCTTAGGAAAAAAGTATAGACATATTATAAGTTCAACTAACTTTTGGATCAAGTCTAGTGGAGTAAACATGTAAGATAATCAAAGATTTACTAAGAAACGATCACTATGCCACTTGAAAACTTAAGCTTAAAAATATGTAAATGTCTCTTACAAATTAATAAAAAAGAATCTAAAATGTATTTCACTGATTAGTTTATAGCGAAGTTCACTAGCAATTTCCCTAATCTTGATATATTTGTTTTCTTGTTTGCTTTTTGGGTCACATTGTGGTGCTCAGGACTTACTCTTAGTCCTGGGCTCAGGGATCATTCTTGTTGTCACTGGTAATAAAACTCATGTTATCCACATGCAAAGTGCCTTACGCTATGTGATTTCTCCTGCAAAATCATTTTCTATTTAAATTATCAAAATATAATCATTCATTTTCATCTTTATCATATAAAAGACTTTATAAGATTACTTAATACACAGTGACTAAATTCTTAACGTTGTGGATTTAATAATTTATGTTGGTTTCAGGATTTGGTCCAGAAAAGCTCAAATTCAATGTCTGCTCTCCCCTACAATTAAAAAAAATTTACAGTGTTGATAAAATAAGTGAAAATCACTTAATATACAATACCTAATATAAATAGGACAGAGAACTCTAAGAACTTAAAGAGAAAACATGTAAGTACAGCTCTTTTCTCTCACTTATGCTCAGATAACACCTATCCATACAGATTAATAAAAGCTCTGGGGCCTAGAGCAATAGCACTGCACGTGGCCGACCCAGGTTCAATTCCCAGCATCCCATATGGTCTCCTGAGCACCGCCAAGGGTAATTCCTGAGTGGAGAACCAGGAGTAACCCCTGTACATCACCCAGTGTGACCCAAAAAGCAAAAAACAAACAAACAAACAAACAAAAAGGAGCTGTCATATCCTCTAGTACTCGCTTTCCACTCTGGAATCACTCTATCATTCATCACTAATATTAAAGAACAAATAAAAAGTTTAAAGTCTAAAATTTTATAACTATTGAGTTCTACCACTGTTCTACTGCTTAATGTTAGGATTTAGACCCTAAATTTTTATCCTCTGGTAAAATGGAATGGCTCCATTTTAATTACTAAAAAGTAGGTAACATCGGAATTCACAAAAATGGAAAAAAATATACAGAAGAGATATTATGCAGACACCCAATATAAATCATTTGCATATATAGCTTATTTAATTCTTAATAAGATTATTGGCTTATTATATATTTTGACAGGCTTAATCACAAGTAGGAAAGATGGTGGGAGAATCCAGTTTTTTCTTCATTTTCTTAAGTTTAATTCTTAACTTTAATCCTTTTGATGAAACTTAATAACCATTATTAATTTTTAAAAGATACTTACAATGAAATAATAATAAAAAAAGAACTAGAAACACTACTATAAAAGAACCCATACTTAGTCACATTCAGATCAACAATATTTAAGAGTGAAACACAAATAACTTAGATTGATATTGAAATATTTATTAAGCATTTACTGGGATTAATGATGCAACTAGAACCGTTTGGTCATAGTTTTGTGAGCAATAATTTTTCTTCAGTGTTTTGAGAGGCCTTAACATTGAGCAAACCATAATTCAACTCAGAAACCTTCATAGATTAAGTTGTATTACTGACAAAGAGCTGGATCTTCTTTTTTAGGTAGTTACATGATTCTGTATGTTAGGCAGAGCTAGACCTCAATGAGCAATGATAGATATCAATGCCAGATTTTTTCAAAACTGTTTTTCATGACTTCATAATTTTAAGTATTTTTAAAATACTACATTTTACCAGATAACATCACATGGTAAATATATTTTAACAAAACTCAGTTTTAATATGAATTGTGATTATTTTGAATGCAAATTAGTGTTATATTAAACTATAGAAACTAAAATACTATAAACAAAAAACAGAAAATATCTGTTTTATCTACATTTCATTTGAACTCAGCATTTAAATTAGTAATTCTTTTCAAAGTAGTGACCATAATGAACAAAAAATTATAGTCATATTTAATATCACAAAATAGAAGTTTTAAAATTAAACTTCATTTATTACCTGTAAAGACTATAGTTGGGGCTTAATCATTAACTGTTATGTTTCTAAATCAGACTTCCTATTTCAGTGGGTTAGCTGAAGAGTTACAAAAAAGGCACATTAATTATTAGAATTTAAATATTATATGATATTTTAATAAAAGGTCAATGGTTTTCAACTTCTTTGTTAGGTAAAAACACAAGTACAAAAAGAAGTAAACAAATTGAACTAGAGCAAGCACAAAAAGTTATCCATACTGAATTGCCTAGAACACCAGCTTCTATTATTTTTTTTGTGGCTAGTTTCACTCTCTGAAAAGCTAAATCACATCTAATAAGATCATGATTTAGAGAAGACCTCAATTTCTAGTCATCAAAATAATATGATGTCAGAAAGTATTCAACTTCAAATTCATGGTAGATAAAACCGCCCATGTTTTAACAGTCATATTTGGTTTGTTTGAGGCTTGTGAGCAGATGTAAATGTAATCTGCAATACTATCAAATGCCAGATCTCATTGATAGCAAGCTATTATTTACTTTTAAGTGCTTTAAAAATTATTTGTAAAAGCTGCATAAAGAAGTATTTCATAAATGTATTGTGATTTTATTTTAACAATTATTCTACACTACAATGGAAGTAACATGCTCAAACAAGACACCTCAGCAGTATTTTAAAGCAGTAACCACCTAGCCAATTTCTGTATGTTCTGTAGTTTTTCTAATCCACTCTCCCTGTGGTTGAGCAAAATCGAATTGCCTCTCACATTTGCAGACAGCTCTGTGAAGGTGATAATAGAGCTGCTCCCTGCTGTCATGAGGCAGGAAATAGGAAAATGGCATATGGGGCTAGAAAGAAAGAAAAATAAAAAAAAGGAAAGAAAGAAAAAAAGGGAAAAAAGAACGAACAACAACAAAAAAGATCTAAACAAGAACAAAAGAGATTTCAACAAAGAACAACTATAACCCAATATGTTTGTAAGTTAATCTCTTTTCAGAATCATTTAGCATATTTAATCATTCATCTGTGTCCTCACTCTAACCATAAATGGTTGCTACCAAGTCTTAGGGGGCAAGTTTTTATTGTCTAAAATATTTGAAACATATAACTTCAGAATATGACCTGTACAATATTTATAAAATAGAGCTCCTGATAACTGAATTCTTTTAGTGGTATCCTAATTCATTTTAAAATAAAGTAAGGACTGATCGATGTGTAAGCTTAACATTTCTAAATCAGTGAAAAAATAAATTAAACATGATTAGACAAGAGCCAACAAAAGCAGAAATAAGCCTCTAAATAGTTAAATTGTAGTAATACCAAAACACATCTATAAACTTGTACAGAGGTTTAAAAAAAAATCCATAACATATAAACAGAAGGGCTTACTGGTGTGTGTAATTAAGAATCTTGCTTTAAACAAAATAGAACTTTATGTAATGTATCTGTAAACAGAATGGGGCAGTAGAGGCTAAGAAACATAGAATATACTCTACCTTTCCTTTTACACTTTGAATGGGATCCACAACCACTGCCACAGCTCTCTCTGACAAGGCTTCAAAGCTCTGCTGAGTGTTGATATCCACACCAGAAAGCCAACAACCAAAGCCAGGGTGACTGTGATACCAACCAACAACCATCTCAGGCCTGAAACAAAGAGGGCATTCAGCTGTTCAGAAGGGAAGAAGTATTACATTTATGATATGAAAAGAAACAACACACTAACAGGGTATAAATTAAGAAGAGATGAAAAACACACAGGTGTGAAAAAGCACCATTAGAACACTGAAATCATACACCACATTATCCAGAAAACATGGAAATGAGTAAGTGTGACAAAGCAGTGCTATCATTAAGAGATACACATTAGCAGTGGTAGATAAGGCTTTCAGTTTTTCACCTTGTTACCACACTTTCTCAGAGCCAGTTTTTACCCTTTCAGCATTCAAGTAAATATCTACTCTTTAACTCCTTAGCTCTGGGAGTTGGATTTTCCAGGCAGAGTACATTTTTAACAATGGACACCAGGATCCACTGTTGTGAAAGGATTAAATATCAATTAAACCAGCAGTAGAACTAGGAACTCAGTCAAAAACCAATTTGCACTCTTCTGCTCAGCTGCTGGGCCTTTTGCTAACATTAATTTTGAAGTTTCTTCCACAGTAGAAGAATTCAAGCAAAAGAATGACAACTATAGAGATTTAATCTGGAAGGGATATCTAGATAAAACCTGAACAACTGGATTATACTTTTCTGGTCTTTGAAGTTCATAAACCTACATGTTCAATATTTGTTAAACATAACATTAAAAATTCAATCTACAACTCCCTAATATAAGAAGAAAACAAGCTCTTTTCATTATAAATGACTTGATGGTAGGCTAAGAGACAGCACAGAGGTAAAGCACTTGGCTTGCATGCAGTCGATCCAGGTTTGATTCCTGGGACCACTTGTGGTACCCCAGGCTCTTCAGGAGTGGTCCCAGATCACAGAACCAGGAGTAAACTCTGAGCACAGCAGGGTGTGCTCAAACCCCCAGAAGACTAGATGGTCAACTCTAAGCAGACAAATACTAAACAGAGGGAAGTGAGAGCCCAAGCTTATTAACAAGTGACAACCAGGCATTTTAGTTATTTGAGGGGCTTATTTTATTTATTTATTTTTGCTTTATAGGTCACACCCAGCAATGCTCAGGGGTAACTCCTGGCTCTGCACTAAGTAAAAATTACTCCTGGTGGTGCTTGAACCATATGAGATCCTGGAGACTGAACTCAGGATGGCTGTGTACAAGGCAAATGCCCTATCCATTGTACTACTGCTCTGGCGCAACTGGGAATTTTAATAAAAGGAGATTTCTGACTGACAAACTCCTTTGACTTAGTGGAAAAAGATATGCTATACATGGTGCATAGCACTAATACTATCTCATAAATTATGTGGCTTCTACCCCCAAGATTATCCATAAATGTGTATATTCTTTAGATATTCCTTTGAAATATTTCCTATTATCTATATTTATAGTCATTTACATTACTTACCTTCCTGTCTGCTTTAGCATGTCCAACATTTTAGCTTGGAACACAGGATCAACAGCTTCCACACTGACACCCTGGTTTAGAAAGAAAAATAATTAACTCTCATAGGGGAAAAACATTCACATTATAAAGTAAAATTTCACTGTTTCACCGACTCTTTGGGGAGGGCTGAAAAAATCCCAAGGGGGAATAGCATCAGTACAATTGGGAGATGGTGATTAATTTGTTTTTTCCCCTGAAAATTGTGGGAAACGGGGAATGGAGGTCAGGTTAAGTCTGATAACTTTTTATGTAAGTGTACAAAAAACTACCCACATGAATGGAGATAGTAGAGGGGTTAAGGCAACTTCCAAGAAGTTGACCTTGCTTCAGTCCCTAGCACTGCATATGATCCCCTGACCACTGCCCGCCAAGAGTGAGCCCCAACCTCCAAATGAAACTAGTTCCCTAAATCTATGTATATTTTTGTATGGAGCCAAATACTTTTATAGATTTTGATATTCATACTTAATAATGCTTATATTTTACTTAATACATTCTTATATTCATACGTAATACATGCTTATATCACTTAAAAATTGTGATTAACAAATCAGTAATATTTCTAAAAGTGTGAAGTAACAAATTGCTTTTAATGGAGGTAAGATAATTTCCAGAACCCTTCTGAGAGTTGTGACCACAGCTAAATCAAATAACTGAAACAGTATTATTTATTTATTTTTGGCCTGACCTACTGGCTTGATCTAGCAGCATATATATTTCCTAATGGCATCCTTGGATAGTTTTAAGCATTGTCTCTTTCCCATGGCTCTACAACTATTCAGGTATTATAAAATTTGTTTTGAATAAGGAAAGCTATAAGTTTCTTATAGTTGTTTTGCTTTTTTAGTTTGTTTTGGGTAGGTGATTTGGAAAGGGAGGAAGTTTAGTGATTTCATTAAGACAATTTGATGGATTACAAGGCTGGTGGGAAAAATCCATTTTTAAATATTATTTTAAATATAGAAGTATTCACACACACCAAATTAAGAAATAAAACCGTCTCCATTGGAGACAATCATTAAGCTGACTTTTAAATTTTGAATCACTTTGCTATTTCAACCTAAAGAAGATACTAGAATACAGAAGATTTGAAATATTTATATTATATTCCTAGTGATTGGTATACGGCACTACAGCTCATGTAAGGCTTTCTTATAACATTCAAAATTTAAAACAAACCAGTTAACATTAAATGCTTCCTTCCTACAAAACAGTACTTTGAATTCTATTTAAGCATGTATCTATCTTCGTGCAATCGGCTACCTACAGGATAAACATGGTTTTTAAATTTAAAAAAAAAAATTGTTAAAAAAAGTATATGAAAAAGATATCTCTATATTCTATATAGGAAAAAGTTTGCCAACTAAGACAGAAGAAAAAATGTTCTACATCTACTACAGAGAGTGATAAGTGGATCAAAATTACTGACTTATATCATGCAATATGCATTTGTAATGAAATAGTAAAAACATTTATGAACATTTATTAAAGTTTCTATGTATATAATGACCACATATTACAAAAAAGCCAGTGAATTTTATTATGCATTCCACTTTTTAAGTATATGAAAAGACACAGAAATATTATACTAAGTTTTAAATCTAAAGTCAGTATTAGCAAATAATATATTAACTATGCCAACATACCAAATAAAAATGCTTATTTAGTGGGCATATTCAGAAAAACCTAAATTAGTTTGCTTTAAGAAACCAGTCTATTTTTTTAAGTTTTCATTATTTTACATTCAGAAATACAATGAATTCTGTAGAGACTATTATTTAAAATGCACACACATACATATTGCTTTATATTTAAACATGTTTTTCTCTACTATCATCAAATTATAATTACAGCAAACAGAGTGAAGAGCTTTAGGACAACAATTTCCTTAATTCAGATTTTTTACGTGGCTCCATAAACGTTGCATACTAGAGAACTACTGATCAGAATATACTCATATATTTTTCTAGGCAAACATATAAAGACTTGTTTGTTAATTCTGAAAAGGCAGTTTGTACATCTACAGGGAACTCAAGATACACTAAACAGATGATTTAATTCAATACTGCCTCCTTTTATAATTACTTTTATGATGATTTACATATCAGGAAGAGAAACAAAATTATGAAAAGTAATTTTGCAAGGAAAAGAAAGGAATAAAACCATTTACTTCTAGAAGACAATCATATAAGTACTCACTGTTCCTGACTGTGGCATAGCAAATACATCAATCACTCTGACAGTGTAATCATCAACAAATTCTCCAAGCATTAGACCCATAACTTCCATTGGAACTCCAGCACGACCATGTTTTAACATCTGTGAAAAGAAAGAAATGTGAACATAAAATTGAGGTCTTTGATTTAAAGAACAACAGCAATAAAACCTGCATTTGTTTCAGTGGGAACATTGTTGATGCCTATAAAACAATACCTTATATCTGAGAGGATGAAGGAAAATATTCCAAAGTTAAAGATATAGTGAAGACAACAGAGCTCTATATAGTAACTTCACGCAGTACTTACTTTTAACAGAGCCAGGGAAGAGATATATACTTGTTCTGCTGTGTCCACTGCAGGAGCATCTGTAGGTGGCCCCTAAAAAGAAGCATATCCGTTACTATAAAAGCATAGAGTTTATAGTTTAGACATAAAGTAAATACATATTCCAGCAATGCTAGAAATATAACATATTACAAAGTAATAATTCAAGGTTATATAATAACTATAACTACTGCTCCAAAATAACTCTAATATACTATTAGATACATTTCTTACCTCAATGTAAATTTAAATACTAATAAATTATTGAGATCAATGGAAGAATAAACAAAAACAGCAAATATTCTGGGTCTGGTTTTCAGCTACAGATTACAATTATGGAGTCTCTGCAAAGATCGTAGGTATAATGGAGAGAGGGAGGGCAGAAGACTTCTAATCCCTAGGTGAAAGAACTGTGAACAACATATTCTGCACTTCACCTGATCAAGTTGCTCCCCTCCCCCTATACAATAAAAACTTTAACACAATTGGCCTAGGTGTGAACAAACTGGTTGAGACAGGTGAATCTAACATAGAAATACACCCAAATCTTGACTAGCACCTTTAAAACAAATACTGCTATCAAAATTAACAGAGACTAAGACGGTACCATGTCTCTGGAAGGACTCTTCTCCATCAAGACCAAAAAGAAAACCAAAAATCAAAACTCTAAAACATTTCAAGAAGATGTCTACTGTTTAATTCTGCTGCAACCAGAACACAAAGAACAACTCCACTTTTAACAGTGGGTAGTTTGGAAACTAAAATAAGATATAATACAAATGCCTGATTCTAATTTGATTAAATTCCCTTTCCTTAACAATAATTCTATTACACAAAGTACATTTGACAAGCTAGCTATCTAAACTCTAAGTCAATATCCTATCTCAGTTTCATGGGTTTACTTACTAAAATTAAATGCTTTGCTCATTGCATTTCACACCTGCGAGTTTGTGTGCACTTTTCCTTGACTATATGCTAAATTCTGTGAGTTGGGGAAGGGGAGCTTGTTTAAAAGTTCATAATATTTACTAGAAGCAGTAAGTTTAAAAGAGTCTAGAATAACTTTAACTACAAGATACATACAAAAAAAAATGTCCTTTCTAAATTTCCTCAGGGAAAAGAAAGCCGCAAGAGAAGAACCAGAGTCACATTTAAGGAACCCACTAGAAAACTATCAGCAGGTAAAGAAACTGTAAATCCATAAGGGAGTGGGCAAGGTATACTCAAAGTGCTGAAAGTAAGACATTCTACCAAGAACACTCTACTTAGTCTGTGTTTCTCTGCATAATCACCGTCATTTCATGCAAAACTGTTTTTGCAAAAAGAGCAAAAAAAGTGTATCCACTCTTAAGTTTTTGTTTTTAAATTATGCTGGAAATACTTAAAAAACAGGATACAGATACTGTATGGAAAAATATTAGAAGAAGCTATAGAGTTACTTAGAAAAGAGGACAGGAAATTCACTGACCTACCAAGACAAAAAATTAAAGAACTTCGATAAAAGAGAAAGCAGTTCTGTTTGGAAGTAGCAAGATATCTACCTAGGGAAAAGAAATGTAGGAGAAAAGAAAAGTAATAATAGGGACTCCTGAAATGAACTCTAGATTCACGTTTTCAATTTAGAATTAGAAGTTATAACTAAGTTATAAACTTAGAACCTGATGTAAAACGCATACCAAGTTCAAAACAAAAATATCAGAAGCAACAAGGAGAAGAATGGGACCCAACCATCACATAAAGGGTTACCAAATTACAAAAGAGGGAGTAAGTGAATAACAAAGTCATAGTATCAAACTGCAATAACTTCCAAAATCCACTTAGAAAAATAGCAATCAACTCTTCGAAAAACTTCTCCCCCTTTCACTACTGCTGCTGTCCCTGCTACAGGGCCTGAAAGTCTCTTCTTGGAATGCCAACCACTGTGTCTAGTAGTGCTGAGGAGTGTACATTAATGTGGGCGTTGTCAAAAGCTTAATACACAACATGCAAGGAAGACACCCAATCACCGACGCACATTCCTTGCATTCCCAATAAACTCTTAAATGATAGCCTGAAAGGGGCAGGAACAATCATTTCACTATAGATTTCAGCTTTAAAAAGCAATAGGGATAGTTCTACCACTGTTTTTAAGTCAGACAGATTTATAACTCTGCAGTCAGCGCGACAGGATATCGATCACTAAACTATTTAATGGCAAGGAAATATTTTTTGAATTAAATAAATACAAAAATGTTAAAAAAAAAGTGATAGGGAAAGAGATCAGGGAGATAGCTGGGAGGCAGGAGCACATGCTCCGCATGAGACAGCTCCAGGTTCCCATTCCTGGTAGCACATGGCTTCCAGAGCACAATAGGAGCAAGCCCTAAGAAAAGAACTGGGAATAACCCCCAAACACAGCAAGGCGTGTGGTCCTTCCCTCAAAAAAGAAAAGGATAAGGGCTTGCTTCGGATGCAGCTGAGCCAAGTTCAGGCAGACCACACACTGTAGCAATGTAGCACACTGTCCTCCCATTGTTCACAGATTTGCTTGAGTGGGCCCAGTAATGTCTCCATTGTGAGACTTGTTGTTACTGTGTTTGGCATATCAAATACATCACAGGTAGCTTGCCAGGTTTTGCCGTGCAGGCGAGACACTCTCGGAAGCTTGCCAGGCTTTCCGAGAGGGGCGGAGGAATTGAACCCGGGTCTGCTGGTCGGCTGCGTGCAAGGCAAATGTCCTACCCGCTGTGCTATCGCTCCAGCCCATACAGCCAGGAGTAATCCCTGACTGCGTAGCCAGGAGTAAGACTGGACGACCAATGGGTAAGGAACCAAAACCAAAACCAAACAACAAAAAAAGAGGGACAGACATGATAAATAGTGAAATCTACACACACTGAATGTAGGAATATAAAATTTTATTTATTTGTACTTTAGTTTTTTGGTTTTGAGAACACCCCTGGCTCTGTGTTCAAGGGACCATGTGGTGCCAGGGATCAAACTCAGGGCACATAAATGTGAAGAATGTACTCAGTCCTTGAGCTATATATTCATTCCAGGAGCAATAATATATAAAGGAAGAAAAATATTTTTCTTTAAAAAAAAACCACCCAAAATACACATATTTCTCAAGTGCACAGAGAATATCCTCAAGGAAAGATCATTAACTAAGATATAAACAAATGTTAATAAGAAGACTGATATCACACCAAGTACCTTTTCAAGCCACAATGAAATAATAATGTCAACCATAAAAGAAAAGAAAAGCTGGGGACTGGTGGTGAGGGAGAAGAGGGAGACTTCATTCAGAGATTAGACAGTATTGGGTCAATGAAGACATGAAAGAAATTCCTGCTGGGAAGGAGAGATAGTACTGCAAGTAGGATGCTTGCCTTGCATGCAGCCAACCCAGGTTCAACCCCTGGAACTCCATATGGTCCCTTAAGTCCACTAGCAGTCCTTAGCAAAGCCAGGAGTAAGCCCGAAGCAACTCCACGTGTGGTACCCAAACAAAAATAAAACAAAATTCTAATTAAGAATGAACCCAAGCTAATAAAAAACAACATAATAAAAGTAGCACTTGTAGTTATACAAACAGGGGCTAATGTAGGGAAAACAGACAATAAAATCTCACTTCTTAAGACACTATAAAAAGAAAAAGGAAGAGTTGCAACTATAGCTCAAGGGTCTTAAGCATAGGCTTTGCTCATCAGAGGCCTGGTCTCAGGACCACATAGTCACCTGAGCTATACAGAGGTTACCCTGAAGCACTCAGCTGGGAGAAGCCCCTAAACACAGCCAGGTGTGAACAAAGCAACACAATAAAATCAAATACCCTATTTAGAGTCTACCATTAAAAGAATAACAGCAATAAATAAAATAAATAAATAAAACTTAGAGAAAATAAAAAAGAACTCAAAGCTATAATATAAAAGGTGAACATAACCAACAGCTGACTTTTTATAAGACTAAAATGGAAAAACCTTTAGCTGGACTCACAAAATGAAAGAAAATCTTATAAAATAGGATCAAAAATGAAAAGGAAAAATTTACATGTCAGAAATCAAAGGATAAGAACATATTATAACTTTATGTCACTAAGCTCGAGAATCTAAAAGAAATAACTATATAAAGCTGAATCAAGCCCAAATCAAGAGAAAATATAAAACCTGAACAAAGTAATTAGACATAAGAAAATACAAACGATAAATGAGTCCCATGCCCCCAATCCTCAAAAGCCCATTATCAAATGACTTCACAGTGGGTACCACCTGACAATAGATAATCTATTATCCATCCTTTTCAAGCTATTCCAACAAAAAGTGAAGTAAAAGGATTTCTTTCACTTTTTTTTGATGTGAATATTGAAGACACCTCTCCCTTCCCTCCCCCCAAAAAGCCATACAGAAGAGGCAAGTGAGGAGAAGGAAGGAGAGAAGGAAGGGAGGAAAAGAAGGGAGGCAAGGAGGAAGGGAAGAAGGGAGGAAGGGTGGAACTAAGGGACAAACACAGAATCTCAACAAATTTATAGTGAACTGAATTCAGTAACACATTAAAAGAATGTTGCATCATGACCAAATAGGACACATTCTAGGGAATACAAGGAAGGCTCAATATATTAAAAAAATAAGTAGTGTATCATAATAACAAAATAAAAAATAAAAGAGAAAAAGAAATAACAAATCAAGAGAGAAAGCTTCTGACAAAAGTCAACATCTGTTGATAAAAGCTCTCACCAAAATAGCGAGAGAACGAACATACATTAGTAAAGAACTATAAAATCACTATACAAAATCAGTTGTATCTTTAAATGCAAGCAGCCAATCAGAATAAAGGGATCAAGAAGAATAACTATAAACAAAGTACAAGGAGGTGAAAGACTTCACACCAAAAGCTATGTCACTGTAAACAAAAACAGAAGACACATGGAGGTGGCATTGTATCTATGCTTATAAAACAGGAGTTAAGTCACATGAATTGCATGTGGTCAGCCTGAGTTCAATCGCCAGAACCACAAGGTCCCTAAGCTTTGCCTAGATGACCTCACAATGAACACTATTAAACTCTTATATAAG